TGAGAAAAAAATACTACTACATGTATAAAACCTAATAAATTTGCACAATAATATTGAATAATTTCAAAGCAAATAGATTGAATCTAAAGAAAAAATCATTATTATATTTCTTTCTAAAACGAATGTTGAAGGAATGTTACATATATATACATCTATGTAAGGGAAAGAAAAAATAACAAATTGACAAAAAGAATAACAGATAGGTGCTAGCACATAAAACTACCTAACAACCTAAAAACAAAACAAAATTAGTTATGTACACCGATGCATTATGCAAAGAGTGATGCATTCACACACCACAATATACGCCATAATCTACATCCCCTCCCCCCTCAGGGTTTTTTTTGTCATGTATTTGTGTTGAAAATATAAGTGAGAAACTAGAGAAAAACTAGAGAAGAGGAGAAAGAAAATTGAAGCAAAGACCAAATTTTCTGCTTCATTCGTCACCATAAAAGTAGAGATATAATGTCCTATATTCTCTATTGAGAAAAAAATACTACTTCATGTATAAAACTTAATAAATTTACACAACAATATTGAATAGTTTCAAAGCAAATAGACCGTATCAAGAGGAAAAATTATTATTATATTTCTCTCTAAAATGAATGTTGAAGAAATGATACACATATATATACAACTGTGAAGGATAAAGAAAAAATAACAAATTGACAAAAAAGAAAAACAGATAGGTGTCAGCACATAAAACTACCTAACAACCTAAAAAGAAAACAAAATTAGTTATGTACACCGACACATCACGCAAAGCGTGATGCATGCACACACCACAATATACACCATAATCTACATCCCCTCCCCCCTCGAGTTTTTTTTCATGTATTTGTGTTGAAAATGTAATTGAGAAACTAGAGTAAAACTAGAGAAGAGGAGAGAGAAAGTTGAAGTAAAGACCAAATTTTTTGCTTCATTCATCACCATAAAAGTAAAGATGTAATGTCCCACATTCTCTAATGAGAAAAAAATACTATTACATGTATAAAACCTAATAAATTTGCGTAACAATATTGAATAGTTTCAAAGTAAATAGACCAAATCGAGAGAAAAAATCATTATTATATTTCTCTCTAAAATGAATGTTAAAGAAATATTACATATATATATAGTTGTGAAGGAAAAAGAAAAAATAACAAAATGATAAAAAGAATAATAGATAAGTGCCAACACATAAAACTACTTAACAACCTAAAAATAAAACAAAATTAGTTATGTACACCAATGCGTCTAGCAAAGTGTGATGCATACACACACCACAATATACACCATAATCTACATCCCCTCCCCCTTCCCCGCGAGTTGGAGGTTGGTGAAAGTCTACCAATCCCAACTTAAAGAGGACATAGTAAAACTAAGGATACGGAAGATATTTGGTGAAGATATATGTTGTTTGCTTTTGGCTGAAAACATACGAAGAGAGAATAAAACCTTGCTTAAGTTCATGCCACACCGAATGACAATCAACTTCCAAGTGCTTAGTGCGTTTATAAAAAATGGTATTGGTAGCAATATGAAGAGCTGCCTTATTGTCACAGAAAAATGGAATAGGACAAAAAACAGAAATGCCAAAATCACGTAGCAAGTATGTAATCAATTTGAGTTCACAAACTATGGCAGCCATGCTACGATTCTCAGCTTGTATAGATGAGCGAGAGACAACTGTTTGCTTTTTGGTTTTCCATGATACTAAAGATGATCTATGAAAAATACAATATTCAATCAAGGATTTCTCGATATCACGACATGCAGCCTAGTCTACATCACAAAAATCCCGCAATTGAAAGTTATTCTCTACTAGCAAAAAAAAGACCTTTAGAAGGTGAATTCTTTAAATGCTTTAAGATATGCAATGATATATTCAAAGGAGGTTGAGATGGGGCATTAACATACTTGCTGAGTTGTTGAATAACATAAGTAAGATCAAACCTTGTAAAGTTCAGATATAGAGTTGTCCAATCAACCATCTGTATTGTTTTGGTTATGAAAATAAATTCTAAGTATCAGCAACTAAGGATTGACCTTTGAGTAAAGGAGTACGAGCTAGTCTTACACTAAGTAGACCAACATCTGCAAGAATGTCTAAAATGTACTTTCTTTGATTCAAGTAGGTATTAGTTTCTAAACGAGCTATTTCTATACCAAGAAAGTATTTACTAAGGCCTAAGTCCTTAATTGTAAACTTAGTATCAAGAAAGGCTTTAACAACATTAATCTCTTACTCATTATTGCCTGTAATCAAATATCGTCAACAGATACAATTAAAGTAGTGAAGGACTGCTCAGTGTTCATAACAAATAAATAGTGATAATTTTCAGACTGGACGAA